TTAAAAAACCCTAGACTCTTGTGTTATGGGTGGTAGGGCTTGTCTATCTCAGAACTGATGAAGTTACAGCCTTCTAAAGGAAGATGCTCAATAGATTTTTTTGTAAATCTCCTTTGGTATTTTCCTATGACTACAGCAAGGGAGATCTTTGCACTGCTGCAGATGTGGCCATGGTACATACAACAGTATCAAACATATTCATAACAGACTGCAGGAAAGTATGGGCCATCAGCTCTGATGTCCTCTGATGATTTGGAGAATCTGTCTTAATGTCTACAGCTTATGAATTTTGATTGATCCTACAAAATTACTGGATCATTGAATGCCTCAGTTTATCTGGAATTAGTCATATGTTGTCATGGTTGACTTATGCATTTCCTCAAACAGAGACAGTAAAGAGAACACCCTTTAACCTTGAGGACTCCCAGGCAAATGGGAATTTCTTGGGACAATGTGATGGCTGCATCCTAGAGCAGGAGGTTCCAACTTGCAGCACATATACCAAGAGTGGCACAGGCAGCATTTGGATGGGACATGCAGCAGAGCTTGGAGGAGGCAGGCAGCACAGTGGCAGATAGGACAGGGAGCAGGAAACAGAGCAATGGAGCAGGCAAGCAGGGAACAGAAAGCAAACCAACTGAAAAGGCACAGAGCACAGGGCCGTGAACAGAAAGTAAAGCAGCAGATCAGGGAGGGAAAGGAGATTGGAGTGGCACATAGGGAGGGTGCTGGACTAATTTGTGGCATGCCTGCCAAAAAGCTTGGCTCCTAAGTCCTAAAGGATGCTAATTTTATCCAGTCTTGCTGCAGTTGGCAGCAGGGATTTGGAGAGTGAAAATCCTCCAAGATGTCAACAAAGAAATCGGGAGTTAATGCTGGTTCGTAAAAACCACAAGGAGCCTGAAACACTTAGGAAGAACTCAGAGGGATTTTTATGTATACAGGAGTTTGAGATGCAGGGTGGGGTGGAGAGGAGAAGAACATAGGGGTCCTGCTTAACTAAAGGGACCAACCAAGGACAATGAAACTGATTGTACAGAAGAGAGAAGACCTTCCTTGATTTATAGAAGCCATGTGCAGGACAGAACATCCTGGACTCTTTGAATGATTATGACACAAGCCCAAAGAATGCTCAAGAGTGCTGAATAAATTAGAGTCAGGTAAATGTATGCAGGGTATTCATCCAGATCTGTATATATTTCTTAGGTAAAGAGCAAGTGGCTTTTAGAACCCTTGTGAAGTCTACAGGCACATTTTCTTACTGCCAAACCCACATGCCAAGAAGGGGAGTCTAGGCACCATAGGATGCCTAGGGCAGATGGACCATGAGGCCCTGTGGCCCTGTTTCTGTGAAGGGGTAACAGGCAGAGTGCTTGGGCCCTGGGCATATGGCAGGGAGGCCAAGGAAAGGGCTATACTGCAGCCTGCTCAGACCAAGGGAACCTTAAAGCACATGGATACAACATGGTGGAATCCAAACACAGCAGCCTGGCAGGTGCCTAGTAGGATGCCTCTTACAAACATCCACAGAACCTGCTAGGATCCAGAACAAGATTCAACAAGGACAGGTACAAAGACCTGCACTTAGGATGAAAATATTGCATTCACAAATACAGACTGGGGAATGGCTGGCTAGACTGCAGCACTGTAGAGAAGGACCTGGGGGTTACAGTGGACCATGAGCTGAAAATGAGTCAACTGAAAATGTGCTCTGGTTGCAACCCCCCCACAAAAAGCCCCCCAAACGAAAACAGAAACAAAACTCAACAGCATACTGCATTGTATTAACAGGAGTGTCTAGCAAATCCAGGGAAGTGATTCTTCTACTCTCTTCAGCATTGGTGCAGCCTCACCTGGAGTACTGTGTCCAGATTTGGACCCCATGCTTCAAGAAGGATGTGGACAGTTTGGAAACAGTCCAGTACAGAGCAATAAAATGATAAGGGGCCTTGGAGACACAATTCATGAGGACTACACTGAAAGAACTAGGGTTATTTAGTCTACAGAAGAGAAGACTGATTGGGGGGGGAGGGAGGGAGGCAGGGGGGGACAGGTTCTAAGTTTTTAAATACCTGAAGGGTGGTTAAGAGGATGGAGTTGGGCTTCCCTGTGGCTGTAAGGGACAGGACTAGGAGCAAAGGCCTCAAGTTGCAGCATGGAAAATTTAGGTTGAAGATTAAGAAGAACTTCTTGACTATGAGGGTGGTCAATCATTGGAACAGGCTACCTAGAGAAGTAGTAGAATTGCATTCCTTGGAAACTTTCATAGGCAAGTTGGACAGACACTTGACTGAGATGGTTTAGTCAGGGATGATCTTGCTTTGAATAGGGGGTGGGACTAGATGACCTTATGAGATCCTTCCAGCTCTATTTTCCTGTGATCCTATGATCCCAGGGGTAGCTCTATTGGATCTGTGCAACAAGCCGGGTCTATGAGTGACCCTGAAACTAGATGTAAAAATCCCCCCAAAACCCAAAAAAGCCCCAGAGCTTTGGGAGTGACTTTTTTACATCCACTATCCTTTTGCATATGGCTGGTACAGATGCTGGAGACTCCCACAATTCCACTGTAGGCTGGCAGCCCTCATGAGTAGGCTTGGCAAGCCTAGCAGGTACAAGAGTGCAGAATATGTAGCAGCTTGCATGACTTCTGCACTACCTCCAGTGGAATGTCAGGAGTCTCATCCATGCATTTCATCAAACCTTGGTATGTCTTAAAGTTGTCCAAACAAGGCATGAAGAGATTCGCTGCTTCACTGGACAAGACTGATGACAATGCAGCTAGGATCAACTGTTGCTCAATGTCTGCATGCTAATTTTCACCACTCCCCTTTTTTCTTTTAGGATCTCTGATTATACCAGTTGACCTAGTTGAGGAGTCTATAGCACCTCTTGATGGAAGGGGATCTAACTCTATAAAGACGGCAATAGTGTACGTTGGTTTGTAGGTGCAGCAGGAGGCTTGGTGTTCCTTCCTGCTATTTTAAGAGAAGCCTGGCAGTAGGGGAAGCAGCCTGCAGGTGTGGCATGAGCCAATTAGAGAGTCACCTGACCAGAAGGGGGCTGGGATTGAGGCATATACGCCCAGAGCTGGTCAGGCAATCTAGCCCTGAGGACCATCAAGAGAGAGAGGAGCTCCTCGGTAACATTGGAGTTGTGGTTAAGCAACTCTGGAGGTTTGAGGAAGGGACTAAGGGGAGTAAAGGTGACCTGGGGCCCAGAGGGAGAAAGAGCTTGAGCCCAGAAGGGACTGAGTAGGCAGGGCCAGAGAACCTGGAGGTCTGTAGCCCAGAAGGGGTGAGTGTCAGCTGGGCCAGGGAGCTTGACAGTGTCACTGGCCCAGGAGTGGGACCAGGCTCCAGAGATAGGGGCCGAAGTCTGAGGAGGGCCATAACCAAAGACTGGCAGGGCCAGGGGCCCATGAGTCTGGATTAGAACTAGGAGCAGGGCCAGGGCCCAGAGAGAGGGGCCAAAGACCAGGGATCACAGCCAGAGATTGAGGGGGCCAAGGAGCCTGTAGCCCAGGAGGGGTGAGGATGAGAGCTGGGAGCCTGTAGCCCAAAAGAGGCATATGTCATCAGGGCCAGGGGGCCTATATCCCAAGACAGGTGTTAGGAACAGCACAAAAAGAGAGGAACAAGTATTACCTGCAAAGGATGGGCATGGTTATTGTGGAGGATAGAGCCCATTTAATTCACCCTTAAGGCAAAGAGTGGAGACACCTAAGCTCAGGAGTGTAAAATCAGGCTTGGGAAGCCCTGAGGCAAATTCCCTTTTTTTAAAAGATAATAACATTAAGGTGTGGCAGGAGGAGAAGAGGAGATTGCCCAAAGAGATAGCATGTTGGCAAGGGCTGAGTGGGGCTCCAGGGGCTACCCCTGGAGTTGAACCTGGTTACAGTAGGAATATGGTTGCATATACCAGGTGCCCCTATGGGATCAATAGTCATATAAATGCTAGAAGGATGAACTAAGGGGATTAACAATTGGACTTATTCTCTTGAGACCCATGACCTTTACTCCTCAGAGAAGTCTTTTGGGGCATATAAACCTCACACTAACCTCAAAGCAATTATTCTTGAGTCCGAGAGCTATGTTGACTGCACCTGGAACGGGTGGGAAAACAGCATGACCAGACTGAGGGGGGCAGGACAGACCAGGAAAGACGGTAGAAAAGGCAAGGCTCCAAGAAGTGGGTTAGTGTGCTGAAAAAGAGCAAAGAACTAAGCAGAATTTAGGATGGACTAAAAAGCTCCAGTCTGAGATGGGTGGAAAATGCTAATTTTTTTTAGTCTTGTTGAAAGATGCCAAACTCAAGCCTGCTGAATTACTGCTCTGAAGGGAGAAGAGTGAGGTTAGAAAGGAGCCCAGGAGGAGGGACAGGGTATCACATTACTATTTTGATGGACATCATGTGGGACTTTGTCCTTGTAGAAGTGAACATATAGTCTACGGATCAGATGTACCTGTTCCACCATTTATGTCCTTGGGTAGCAGCAGAAGATGAGAACACAGACCTGGTCCCAGTGGACATGATTGCATAAAAGAATCATGCTTCATGTTCTCAGGTGCATGTGCACTAAACATGGGAGCCATATAAGCAATTATTTGAAGACTGTGCAGTGTAGGGCACGTGGGACCCAACAGGATGTCCTGAGGGGTGGTGGGGTGGGAAACCTTCGCCCCATCCAAAGGTTCTTGGGTCCCAATGGCTTAATCTCTCCTTCCCTACCCAGAGCTCGCCTATCATGGGCAGAATACTTCTAGCTCAGGTCCTTCCCTACCCTGTCTTTACAGGACAGAACCACTTTCTCATGTCTCTGCCTTCCAGTATCTGATCTCCAGTTCCACCTCAGTTTGATCTGACTGGCAGAGGGAAGGGATTGGTTCTCCATCAAAACAGTCTCTGATTGGTCCCCAAACTGCTGCCTTCAGTCCCGCGCTTGACAGATAGCAGTCCTTTTAAGCTCCATTCCAATGCTGAATATCACTGTATCTTACCCGGATATGGAAGTCACTGAGTTCCATGCACTTGCACATCTCCAGAAAGTACTTCACCCCCTCCTCATCCAAGATCATATAGACTGGGATCCGGCGCTTGTGTGCTGCATCCACAATATCCTGGAAGATGTCTCTGTCAGTAAACAGGTCCATTACGACTGCAATGATCTGGAAGTGAGGAGAAGGCAGAGAGAGGAAAAGAATGGATAGAGGTTGGGACAGGGGTACATCACACTGTTGTAAACCCAGAGGATAGAGGTGCAAGGCCAGTCAGGCAGAATATGTTTAGGGCCAACTAAAGTATGTGGAAGCACATGCCTGAACATATCCAGCCACCTCATTACTGTACATCCAAGTTCCCAATCCCTGCTGTACATGCAAGGGGCCTGTTGGTTCTTGTTGGGAGCTCTCCTGCCTATTCCAGGGAATGGTGCTGTTCAGAGTCTTAAAGAACATCAAAGCCAGATCAATTTTTGTCTCCACAGTGACACCTTTCTGCCAAGTTGGTCTCACAGTAGTTCACCAACACCACAGAGAAAAGCAAAG